AAGCACCAGGAATTGATGGAGTCAAAATTGAAATCTTTCAAGAAAGTGAGGCAGCACAGGAGGCACTCACTCATCTCTGCCAAGAAATTTGGAAGAAAACTATCTGGCCGACTGATTAGAAGAGATCCATATTTGTGCCCAATCCAAAGAGAGGTGACCCAACGGAAGGTAGAAATCATTGGACAATCTCTTTGATAGTCCATGCGAGTAAAGTTTTGCTAAAGGTAATACAGAAACAGCTGCATTGACAGAGAACTTCCACAGGTTCAATCTGGATTCAGAAGAAGCTGTGGAACGAGAGATATTGCTGATGTCCAATGGATCTTGGCTGAAAGCAGAGAATATCAGAAAGATGTTTTCCTGTGCTTAATTGACTATGCAAAGGCTTTCGATTGTGTGAATCATGACAAACTGTGGACAACATTGTGAAGTATGAGTATTTCGGATCACTTAATTGTGCTCATGAGGAATCTGTACATTAACCAAGAGGCAGTTGTTCAAACAGAACATGGGAACACTGAATGTTTTAAAATTAAGAAATGTGTGTGACAAGGTTGTATTCTATCACCGTACTCATTCAACCTGTATGCTGAGCAAATAATCCAAGAAGCTGGGTTCTATGAAGAAAAACGTGGCATCATGATCAGAGGAAGACTCATTAACAACCTGCGATATGCAAATGATACAATCTTGCTTGCTGTAAGTAAAGAGGACTTAAAACATTTACTGATGAAGAGCAAAGAGTCACTGGAGAAGGATGTCATGTTTGGTAAGGTGGAGAGTCAGAGAAAAAGAGGAAGACACCCAGCCAGATGGATTTGCCTAGTGGTAGCATCGTTGGACTCAAATGTGGCAACAGTAGTGAGGTTGGCCCAGGATCAGGCAGTGTTTCGTTCTGCAGTGCATAAGGTCACTATGGGTCGGTAATGACTCGATGCCACCTAACAACAACTTTTTTGATCTTTATTGTTATTGTTGACGTGAGATGATATCTTATTGTTTTGATTTGCATCTCTCTGATGGCTAGTGACCGTGAATATTTCTTTATCTGTGTGTTGGCTGCCCAGATCTCCTCCTTGGTGAAGTGTCTGTTCATGTCCTGTGCCCGTTTTTTAATTGGGTTATTTGTCTTTTTCTTGTAGAGCTGTTGTAGTTTCCTACATAATTTAGAAATGAGTCCCTTGTCTGAAGTGTCATTGCAAAAGATTTTTTCCCATTCTGTGGGTTCCCTTTTTACTCTTCTGGTGAAGTCTTTTGATGCACATAAATTTTTAATTTCTAGTATGTCCCACTCATCTATTTTGTCTACTTTTGTTTGTGTAGTTTTCAAAATGTTTTGTAGTCTGTTGTTGTTGTTGTTGTTAAGTGCCGTTGAGTCGGGTCCGACCCATAGCGACCCTGTACAGGGTTTCCGAGGGTGTAAATCTTTACGGGAGTAGAAAGCCTCATCTTTCTCCCGC